ACTTCCCATCCATTCACATGCTTGAGAGAGCGCAAAAGTAAAGGATTTCATTTCATTTACAACCATGTGTCTAGAAACTCAGGCTTGGTTCGCGATATGGTCAGGAGGCAGCCACCTAATCCCTGATAAATTTAATTACCAATAAGACCATGCTCAAGGGGCAGGAGCTGTTTGTAAGTAAGGGTTAGAAGTGAAAAGTCAGGTGACTGGGCGTTTAAGAATGCAAGCGTGCCTAAACATAAAGTACTGTCATTTTTAAACATAAAGACCGAAGTAATGAATGAAATTAAATGAGTAACAAATAAAATGATTTTTGAAGTTTGTCCTTAAACTGCACGTGCTTTCTTTTGCTTGAAATTATTGATCAAACATAGGAAAAAAAGTAAAAAGGACAAATCTTTCTGTGGCATGACCTTATTTCTTACTCCAGATAATAAACTTACACAAACTTGTACTGGAAAAATTGAATCTGACCAGCAATCGGTGCCGTTTATTTTATCACAGGTGCTCATGTCCATACTGAAGGTTGTAGCTCCATCCCTCAAGAGCTAGAAAGGAAAAGAAAATCTCTCTTGATTTCCCTCTCCAGAGAATCCCATTACTGACAACAGGAGATATGGCATTGCTTAAGCCCTGACAACTGGCTTTTTACCATGATAAGCAATCTGCAGCAATTTCAGATTTCAGAAAGTTTGTTTAAAGATGGCAAGTGTCAGCTCAAGTATAAAATGATTAAAGAGTGGAAAAGAATAGGGAAGGAAAAGGTAAAAACATAAATTTTTTAAATTAATTTATATTATTTCACAATAACACTTTGGGAGAGTTATGTTTAACATGCTGAGGTTACGTATTGACTCTCCAACATTTAATCTAAACTAACCCTGTGTGGATACTTTACACTTGCATAATTAAGACATTCCATAGGGACATGTACCAAAGGCAATAGTGGGAAGTTCTCAAATGACAAGCTCATACAGGCAACCTGATGGTTACTGCAGCCAGCATCAACCAAATGGTTTTCTTTGCCCTTTCCCATTTATTTCTATTGCCACACTGCAAACTTTCCCTAGTGAAACCAAGATGGGACTTGGATTCTGGCCTGAGTTTTTACATTAATATACAACAATTAAAATCCATGGTCTTGTGTACTTGCTTAGATAAAGTTCCGTTACGTCTTTGGTATGACAGCACTAAAGCAAGACCTTCTGAGACCTTGTTGCCAGCAAGCCCTATCTGCCTTAAACCTGATATAACATCAGCTTAAGTGCAGAACAGCTGGCAAAGTGTCCAGTCCACTGCGGTGGTAGCAGGGTGCTGCACCACCGGCCCCAAGCAGAGCTCTCGGCAAGGGGCTGGCCTCAGGCTGGAGATGCAGATCCAACTACTGATATGGCCAGGAGATGGTTGACAAATTTTCCTTCGCATGGAACCTCCCCTATACCAAACACCCAATATTAAGCAACAGTCTGCAGCATCCTCAAGACTACTGTAGTTGCCCATACCTATTAAAGTCCACAGGGTACAGTATTCGTGAGGATCAAAACGATCAAAGAGGGCAAACACTTGGTGGCAGTAGCTGATCAGCTTCAAGACTGGTTGCAGGACACGAGGATCTTCTACATTTAGAACTTATCTCTCCACATGATTTAGTCTCCCCAAGATGGCTTGAGTAAGCCACAACACCTACAGCCATAAGTCGACCACAATCTTCAGTCATCTTGCATCCACAGCAAGACCAAGTGACAAGGGATCACATAGCTGCAGCCTCCTTGGTGATTTCTGTAACTCTCACTGAACTGTCCATTGCCATCCACTGCAAGTTCTGTCTCAATCCTAACCAAGGGAACTAGAAAAGCACACTACGGGGAAGATCTTCGACTCCCTAATAGAGAAGGCTTCACATGAAGGCCCTTCTCAAGGCTGACTGTATGTCTAGAGAACATGCACCATGTGCCAGATAAAAGGTTAGCAGTGACTGACTGCCTGAGGTAATGAGGAAATCTCTCTCTGCCAAGCCCCAGGCAATGCTGGGCTCGCGGTTTACGTTTAGTAATGCAGATACTCCACTCTGACAGTAGAATTGTCACCAGAAGTGGATCAGGGTGCAGGAGGTCCAGATATCAGAGCCATCACACTCCCTTCCTTTCCTGAGGTTATCCTTATCACAAACTGCCCATGGCAGCCTTGGACATGTCCCTCTGCCCAGGAGAACTGTTTGGATGCTCTCACCAGTGGGGTTTATCTACTCAATTAGCAAGGCAATAGGCAAAAAGAGCAAATAAAATGAGCAGAGCTGACAGGTGTTACCGCAAACACCTCTGTCAGTCAAGTCACAAATACTGGCAGCACAGGGATCTTCCAGACATTTTGCAGCACTTTTTGAGTCCCAGGCCAGACACTCCCCGAGGCCCAGTAGAATTGCCAAAATCACTCCCTGGCTGAACACACCTCATACAGGAACTTCAAAGGACTTCTCCAGGCTCCATCCATCACAGATGGCATGATGATGGTGACTTTCAGGAAAAGAAAGTGTCAGCAAAGCAGGATCCCAACAGCCCAGCAAGGACTGACTAGTTTTCCTAAGACTGACAAGGTAAGAAGGAAGCATTTGAGAGGAAATACACAGTACAAGTGAAGACTCTTATGGTTTGGGTTTGTGGGTTTGGGTTTTGGTTTTTTTTTTAAACAGAACAAACATGGGCACCTTTTCAAGATGATTTCCTCTGCTATCTTGCAAGCAATGACATTGGAATAAAAGAAGACTGCTTTCTCTATACAGTTTGTCAGTTGCTATTTATGACTAAAAGATTTGCTTCCCCATCTCCTGTACCAACAGAGATATATTTTGTGCAGCCATGCAATAAAAACAAGATTGCTCTATGGACTAAGAAAAAAGAATCATGCATTCCTTCTCCTCCAAAGTTCTCTCTTATGTTGCAGCAAATTCACTACTGAGAAATCGGTAACAAAAGGCTACTACCTAAGGAGGCAGCAGTGGGTACACCAGCAGTGCCAACAGCCGTTTTCCTCCTTTTCCCTCCAACAGACCAGTTGGATGCCTTTGGGTTTGATGTATCCAGTAAAGACAGCACCAGCAGCAGCCCACTATCACCATCTGTAGAAAACACAGAAATAAGTTTCTCTACTGTATACTGCTGGATGCCAAAGATGGATCTTCGAAATTTGAACCAGTAATATTCTTAAGCATTACCTGGAATGAAACGTGCTCGCAATCCAGAGCAGCTTTTGGAAGTTACTACATTTGATATCTACCAAAGGGTTTTAAAGGTCCCATCCACAGAAGACAACATGAAGGAGTAATTAAACTATTAAAGTATCTTTCTGTACTTTGATTTAACTTATGCTGTTCTATTCTGGTATATACCAGGCTGAAGTAACACTGTAACTAAGAAAAGGATTGTAAAACTATTTTTTTCTTTTTGCAATACATGTAATCTACACACTGGATGGCTCACTGGAGCCAAAGACTGTAGGATTTACAAATAGGTTTGCAATCACATATTAAGAAAGCAGCACACAGATGAAACCTCTTAAAACTCAGTTCTGTGGTTTCCTGAAAGGTCTTGCATCCCTTCAGATTCCAAATGTGGCACTTGGGAGGATACATGTAAATTTAGCTCCATGTTATGAGCTGCAGAAATACAACTCTCTCTTTCGGAGGTACCAGGGTTTCCCAATCATAACAACCAGTGTAAGACAGAGGACGTATTCAGCATATGCTGAATTTGTGCCTGAACACTAACAGCTGCTTAGATTACATGTAGGATTTTCTGTTGGATGGGTCAGTTTTAAGAAGATCAGGAATGACGAAAATAGGACATGCTCCGAAGCAAGCCAGTAAGCAACAATGCATCGGTCAGATCTTATCACCTTCAGCTCCATAACTATTTTGGAAGATAATCAGACATAGATGAGGTCTGGACTAAGGAAACTTGCACTATGCATAACATTTTCTGGCAATATCTGAGAATTCTGGCACACTAAGGTCTCACCTAGAGGTGGACATGAAAAAAGAATGGCTCTCAGAAGATGTTAATATCTTAACGTATGTACTGTCTTTCATGACTATCAAAAGAAATTTTAAATTGCTAATAGCCTGCATTTGGAATAAGTTTAGAAAGTGAGCAAATGAACACAAGCATGGAGTGTAACCTACTGCCTGGTAATCAGTGGTCACAGGGATACCGCTAGCAGAACATGTTTAAAGTCCAAAGACTAAGGTTTAGAAAAGCCAAAATTAAGCTAATAAAAATCAGTGTTTGAGAGCTGTTAATAGAAGAGTTTTCTGTTAGAAAAATCTTTCAATGACCAGTAAACAAATAAATAATACATAAGTTATCACACATTAATTCTGCCCAAATATTCCATGAAACATTTCACTTTGACTTCAGTAAGTACTTCAGTTTGTTTGTATTTTGATTTTTATATGGAAGTATATCTTATGACATAACGAAACAGTCAAACTACTGACCGAAATCAGTCCCTTAAATCCTGGTGAAATAGGACTGAATACTGTTTCAATATTTTTCAAATAAAAAGAGTGATTCGGAAGCTGCATGTCCAGTAGTCTTAATAAAATTAAACTACTTTGCATAAGTAAAGGTGTCTGAAAGCTTGTGTTCTTGCAATAAAGTGCAATTTTGACAACCATCATTTGCGTTCCACATGAAAGATTTCTCTGCCAAATATGCTTTAATTTAAATAGAATATATGGATTTATATCAAAACCAGGCAGATATGCTGGATATTACTAAAAGGTATAGCTCACAGCACTGTTTTTTTTCTTCTTACCATCAACCATAGAAAGCTTTATTCCAAGCCTGATCACACTTTCGTTTACAAAACATGTGGCAAAAAATAACAGTTCACACTCAAGATCTGCCATATTTCTACTTGCCTCAATTCTCATTCTGGATTTTCCATATTGAGGGACGAAGAATAAACCTCTCCCATTTTTAACATAATAAGTATATCTAATGGTAGCAAATAAAGGTTTTTATTATTTTTAATTTTATTTCACAAATCTTTTATTCTCCCCAAGCCGCCATTCGTTAGTGCAACAATCCAGCACAGTGCTAGTTGCTGAGGTATACATGGTTAAACTAATTTCACCTTCAACCGAAACCGCAATGTTTTCCCTCCATCCCTTTTTTTTTTTAAAGGTAGAGAAAGCGGTATATTCAGCATTTTACATTTCTAAAAATAATTCCATTCTAGAGTAAAGAACGGTTTTGTAATAGTGACAGGCTGTAAAAAGCAATAGCCTTACCTTTTATCACCCATAAACTCCTGCTGTACTTTTTTTTTAAATATATTTTTTGCAAAATTAAGTTCTGTGTAGGTCTGTACCATAATTTGGAAAAAATTGTGTATAAAATGTACTTAATTTTTAAAAACAATCCTAACATCAAACAACAGAGAAAGGAGAAACAGATCAGATGCAGCTGAAGTTTTGACATGAGAAACTAAATATAGTCTGTTCTTAAAGCTCCAGTAACACATTCTTTCAAAAACCAGAATGCACTTTGGTTATTATTAAACATTAGTATAGAGGCAAATAAAATACAAAATGCTTGTTTGTGTTGCTTTATATATAAAAATATTTTTATACCACATAAGTTTAAGATACATTACTTCAAATCTTTCAAGATTCTGAAGATTAGCGAACATAGTGCAATGTCCAGACTCTTGTCACCTAATTACTTGTTGTTTTTCTGTACGAAGCCACTATTTTAGAAACATAAAATGTAAGAATACTTGCGCCTGGTGATATTAATTCTCCCAAAATAATTTGTAGGTGGAAAGTTTGTTCCAAGTGACTTAATTCTACATGGGCGAACATCTATTTTTGTCACACTGAAGAACCACGAGTCAGTATGACTGGTCCGGGTAGGAGGCAGAGGGAGAGGTGGGAAACCCAAGGCTGGCAAACCCCAGCTGGGAAAGCGCAGTGGAATGAGACCTGCTGGGAAGGAATGGGAGGAAAGGAAGCTATTTGAAGACACAAATCTGCTGAATACCAGGCTTCAGAGCTCTGCTGCTCACCAGAGGAACTTACTTTCTGTGTTTAACTGTTCTTAAACTTCAGTGTGGTATGAATGGCATATACTATAGTGTACAAGAGGAGAGCATCTATCTATCTAATGCTCAGTCATTCATAGCATTCCTTTCACCAGTAAATCTTTCGCTTGTTTAAATATTGAACTTCAACATATAATATATCCTGCTCCATAGTTCACCATAATATATTCCAATTAATATACATTTATATGTATAAAGTTTCTCATTAAAAGTAACAATAAAAAGTGCACATATTGAGCATGCACAGTCAGAGCTGCGCAGAACAGCCCAGTATTTCAAATAAATACAATATTTAAATCTATCAAAATATCATACAGCATGGTAACCATTTACAATTATTGCTCTAATAAAAGTGTTATCAAAGAGCACTTGTTGACTTGTTATATAATACCTTATTAATATTCCAGGATATTTAAACTGCAGCCTATATGAGTTTAGATCCTGGAATTACTCAAAATATCCAAAATTCCCACTTGCTTCTAATAGTAATATAAAATATTTCTGCTACCTGTCATACTGTATTGTCAGTACTTTATTCTTTGTATATGTCTCACTTTTCTGTTGCAACCAAACATCTATTGATGTTATGTTGTCCTCATAAATGATTGCTGCAAATGAAATATTCTAAGCAACTTTACTGCACTGTCAAAAATCAAATTACTTCCATATGGCCTTACTGTAACTAAAAGTCTTCAGCATTGGCTTCAGCTTTAACAACAGATACAGTAATTTACTGTAATCGGTTTCCAGGACTTCAAGTTCTCAGACGCACAGTTTTTGACCCTTTCAAATCTGATCCTTTCCAAAACTAAACAAATAAGTTTGAAAATAAAATATAAATGTCAACTGAAATGAACATAAAACAGTGAGAAGATGAAATAAATACAAAGATTGCACAAGACAGTCAGATGTAAACACTTCAATTTTCCAAATGACATCCTTGAAGAGGTTGTAGCATCTGAAATACAGATTCAGTGGCTGCTTTGAGGCAGTTTTGTCAATCAATGAGCTTTTCTGTAACACTGTGTTATCTCTTCTTTATATATTGTCAAGATTTGATCTTCCAGAGCTGGAAAAGTTAGAGCAGTAAATCAATATTATTTGTCATCTCAGTTTTCTGTTTACCAGAACTATAATACCATCACTTTTTTTTTTTCTTATTGCATTTGCTGCATATTCTATGATGCACAGAATAAATTTTACATTCGTTTACTTCTAATAGGAAAAAAATAGGTAGATGTAAGCAAACTCAACGGTCAATTAAGGACTTTATGCTACAAGCTTGTGAAAACTAACATGCCTCATAACCCAAATTCTGAAATAGTTTCCAGAGTTTGTAGTTCAGAGGGGGCCAAAGAATAGGATCTAACAGGATAGTTCTTCAGCCATGATGAAATGACACTGTGTAAGATTGGTCACGATAATACTGTATCTACTGTAATACTTTACTGCAGTGCAAGACAAGGATAGCTTGCATCTTTCTGCATCCTTTAAAGAGTTACAAAGTCAACAGTCTGGAATTCAAGAGAGAAATCAGATCCACGATACAAAGAAAAGTCAAATAACATCTTGTACTTATGTGTACAAATGTCTTCATATTTATGGCTAAGAATTCTTGGGAATTATGTGTCCTAAATGAAGTTAGAAAGCCACAAAAATGAAAAAAAAAAAGTTAAAAGGGCTGCTTTGACAAATACATCACTATTCTTCTGATATAGTTTAATAACCGAACAACAAATCTTCTAGTTACTACAGGTTAAGAATTCATTAGGCTACAATGTATGATCCATCTATCATAACATTCTGAACGCCATGGTGGAAAAAAAAGGATGCTTATGAACTAGTTACCTTTAGATTAAATCCAAGCAAGTCACTGATGACACCAGAAACAGCTGACAGGATGACAACTTGGGTGATATTATAAAGCAGTGGATTCATTGTAAGCCCATATAACCTAAAGGGACTGTCCAGTTCCTAGTAATACAAAACAATGACCATTAAAAAGCAAAAATTACACAAAGGGGTTTTTGTTCACACATATATTGAGTGATATTAGATAGTTTAGGAAGTTTTCAAGTCACAGTGCAGTAAAACATTCTCTTATTCTTCTGTATATAAAAAACAATGTGCAAGAAAATACCCATCACATTAACTGACTGTTGACTGATGGTGTCTAAATAAGTCTTCAAAAAATTGGAGGTTACCCATCTAGACCATCTACCAATTTGCTCATAGAGCCAGGAAAATAGAGAGATAGTTTTCCTGGCACCAAGGTGTCATCATTTTAGAATTCCTTATAATTTTCCAGAAATCACCTTCAGTGTTAAAAGAGTTGACAGACAGTGGAATCTCCAAAAACAAGAAAAGAAAGATTTTTCCACAGTGACAGAAGGCTACCTCACTACTAAGAAAAATTATCAAAAATGTCTTTCCTAATGCAATTCCTCTCCTTTTCCATTAATTTTGAGAATGATTACTGATGAATATAGCCAGAAAAGGAAGATAAAGGAAAAAAAATACTAATAACCATTTAGCTGCCAATATTTTAAGGTTTTGGGGTGGTTTTTTTGTGGTGTTTTGTTTGTTTGGGTTTTGTGGGGTTTTTTTTGTTGTTTTGTTTTTTAATTGGAAGGATCAAAAAATTAGCCAAAATTAAACTGCAACAAAACTTCAACAAAGAGGTTATTTCACTAGTTGTCAACTATTAGTGTGTGAATAAAGTCACCCAAACTTTTCTGGCCTAGAAATATATCAAATAAAGGAAGAAAAAAAAGAGTTTTAAAATATAAGAGTGGGTTACATAAAGTATAACAACTATCACTGTTTTGGTCATTTCTAGCTTTAAATTCATCCCTCTTCAGCATTACTTCCTTGGCCTTGAACAAGGCTTTATAAACCCTTTTTTAATAAAGAAGGATCTCAGAGCTCTGACTCTTCTTTCAAAAGAGGTGAAATAAGAATGAACAACCTTTTCATTTAGATGTAATGCGGTTTAAAACTCTGGTGCAAATATAAAAGATATAAAAGACATGCTTCTGAGAAGAACAGCAGGGAAATTCTTTAAGAAAAAAGTTTGTAGATTTTGGATTCATCTTACAAATTTTATGAGTAAGAAAATAGTAAGACTATTCAACATAATATAGTCTTCAGTAAAATCTTAAGGATCAAAATCATCCAAAACCAAATTAAACAACTCCATTTAGCTACTGGGCATGAAATATCAAATTGCATTGATAACTACCTACCAAGAATTCATTTACAGCTCATACTAGGTGGCTTGGAAATCCCATCTCATGTTTGGGGACATTCTCACAGTAACTAAGTGATGGCCTAGGTGTGGGATTTGTGCCACAAAAGTCAAGTCCTCTGTTGGAAAGGCCATGTCAGTCAATACATTTTTGGAAAGAGTAAGACACAAACATTTTTTTTTAAAAACACTGAGAAAAGCATGAAAAAGACTGAAGTGAATCAAATCAAAGGTTGATCAGCATCCTGTCACCAACAGCAGCTACTTCTCACCCTACGTCCTCAAAGCACACAAGCATTTCAATTCATGATATACCCTGAATCTGTTGTGCTTTGTCTAGTCTACTTGCCCAGTCTCTCCTTGAATCCAGACAACCTTTCTGCATCCACAGGGTCCTTTGACCAACAGTTGCACAAGTCTGCTACCTGATGGACAGAGAATACTTCTTTTCATTTGTTCCAAAACCAGGCCCTAAAAGCTTTGCGGTCCCTTATTGTTACACCAAGAGACGCAGTCAATAACTGACTTAGACAGGTTCTCCATATTGCTGTACCATAACTCTCAACTGAAGGTGTTGCTTTATCAGCTTGGAGTCCTTGCTGACTCCATCAGTACTCTCATGGAAAGTTTTGCATACTTTTTCTGAGATGAGGGGACCACACACACTGTTAAAGGTGTGCTGGTGGGGCGGATTACTCAGCTGACTAGAAGAAATACTCCATCATCTCAGCTACTAGCTGGCCAGATTAAACAGAGTTTAAGCTTAATTTTAAGAACTGCTCCTTGGCACACAGGAATCAATGGGGTAAGTGACCAGAATCCAATATTTGGTAGAAAGAGGCACTGCTTAGTCTTAGAGCACTGCTATATGCAAAAAACCCCAATTGTTTCTCTTAATAGGCTTGAATTTTCCTGACTGCAGAAGAAAGGTATAGAGGCATTGAAAGATATGGTTCAGGCTTACTGTATGATAATCCAGCCACACTCTCTACTCACGGGGTTCTCCGCATGTGGAATCAGTATCTGTTGTGCTATACTGAAACATGGTGGGAGGGGTGTGTGGACTGAAGGAAATTTATCTGAGAGGGAGGCAAATACTTTTACATTTGCCAGTCATTCCTGGGGAACTGTTCTACATCACCACTCTATCTTGGACTAAATAAATGAAGCAGTTGATTCCCTCAAGGAGAAATCAAAATACTGTTCTTACCTTTGTCTGAACCCAAGAACAAATCAGCCGCATCTCTAAGAATTTTACCATAACAGCAGAATATATAACAAGATCTGAATACTGAAAGCTGAAGCTAGATAAATTTAATTTAAAAATAGTTCAAACAACAGCAGAAGTGATTAAGCACTGAAACACCATGCCAAGAGAGGTGGGGAGGCAAGTCATGGATATGTTTTTTGTAGTGTCAGGAACTGGCTTCCTCTTTGAAAGCCCACTTTAGTCAATCATAAGTTATATACTGTTAATCTTAGTGTAAAAATCACCTAAGTAACACTAGATGAAATTGATTTTGTTTGTTCCAAAAAGCCAAACCAAAAATTAAAAAAGTTTTTCAAGTATTAAATTTATCACTCTTATTTGGCATTCAAGTAAACCTTATGTAAGTTTTAGACCAGGGAAGTATTTAGTCTGAAGGAGAATGAGACATTTCTGGAGCAAGAATTAAGGTCCCAGACAAACAAAAGAACAAAACATCTTGCCTCCCGAATTATGACAGATCTGTGAGTTTGAAAGAACATAAGAACTCAGCAGAGGCAGTTTCGGATCAAATGTGTCTTCCTGAGAACCTCAACCACTGCTTTGTTAACAACAAGAAGTTTAAAAAAGCCCCAAGCATGTCCATGTTCTAGCTCCAGAGGAGTGAAAGTAAGATGATTTTTCTTCTGCAGAATTCTAGAAATAGGAAGTAATAAAAAAATTCATGTTCTCTCATCATGAAGAAATATATACTACCCACCAAATAGTTAGCTGGGCAGCATAATATTGCATAAGCAAAAAACTTTTCTACTAATCAGCAAAATGCCATGCAAAAAAAAAATTGCCAAATAGTTCAAAGGCACAGCTGACTTAAATATTTGAATTACATTAAATTATATCCTTATCTTTAATTCACTTACAAATGGACCTATGTAACAATTTCTCTCTCTCTTCCAAAAGGATCCTTCTGTGACAGGAAGTAAAGAAAACATCAAGCATAATCTAGTTTTAATTTGAAATGCTAACCACTGACAGTTTTTAAGAGGAATTATTGTTGTGGAAGAATACAAATCCTCCAGCAGCTTATTACTAGAAACATACATCGACACTCAAAACAAACAACAAAATTCCATCATTTATTTCCCAAGGGTTCATCAACCTGTCTGTCCTAAAGTACCTCCTCTCATGCTGCTCATACACTGTTAAAGAATAAAACTTATTGTATATAATAATAACTTGTAATCCACAATGATAGCAACATAACAGACTGTAGTGTATGAACAAGTAGCACCGCTGTGAAAGAGTTAGAGCAGATTTAGACCAAAGCATATGGTACTGCCACACAAGTAACACAAGTAACTCATTATGCAATCTATTCGGCTTCCTAGTTATATATAATATGGCAATACTATTTTAATTCTTACCTTCAGTAACTTAGTAGCAAGTTTTAAAACATTGTTCACTAGTGTCAGTTCCTCCTTCTTATTAGGCTTTTTCTCCATTTTCAAGTACAAGTTTATCTGATTTAAATAAAATACAAGTATTACCACTTATTTGGAATTTAAAGGAATTCATTTGGAAATATGTAATAATAAAATGAAGTGATTATTCAGCAGCCATATGACAGAACAGCAATGACAGTTCTGCAAGTAAGCAAATTTTTTGCTTCCTTTTTCATATTTAAGAACAAATACTGGCTTAGTACCATAGGAAAATACAGTGGTTTACGATATAACAAAATATATCTGATATAATTATAGCAACAACTTTAAAGTTTAGTGTAATCTACAAATTAGGCAAGAAAAAACACCACATATGTAAGGTTTGCATAATTTGTTATTCTTCCTTCAATAGTTTCCTGAGGTTTGTCAATTCATTTCCAGAAGGTTTTTATAATAGTATGTAGACGTTACAAGGCTTAACATCCCCAAAAGTTATTGAACAGACTGAAATGCTAAACATAATTCTGCTAAAGCGTAATTTCTTTTAAAAGATTTTAGTATAATCGAGTACTTCATGAGCACCTTGAGTGCAGAAAAATCAATCTTTCCAGCGCCTTGAAATATTTGAAAAATTATTAAACTCTTCATTAGTATAGAAGAACAGTATATTGATCATTTCAACACTTCTGTGAGCCAGACTTTTCTACGTCATTGTTTCTGAGAAAGTTTAGTTAAGAGTACAAATTAGCTCTCTTTTGGGTTTCTAGCAATTTTGAAACATCAGCTTTCGTTCTCAAGTGACCCACCTTTGATACCCTAGACCAGGCAAAGGTTAGTTTTTATTTTTTATTGCATAACAAAAGCAAATAAAAGGAAAAATATATTGAAAAGCCAAGAACTTCTAATTTTAGGATGACAACCTTGAACAAAGTGAAAAACGAACAATTTAGCAATATGCTGAAGTAGTCCTTCAGATGACAGAGACTCTTACCAAGCTACAGAGGCAAAGTTGCAGAAAGGAAGTGATGCTATATGATGGTATGATATATTTAACCACTTTGTTGTAAGGTGCTTATTGAAATAAGGGCCACAGATATCTAAACAAAGCAACTGCATATTATCAGATCTCCCTAAAAAGATCGATAAGTTGCTTATAGAAGTTAAAAATCAAAAAATATGTCTAATATATTCCAAGGCATATTAAGCTCCTGAACTATCAATTTAATTTTAAAGTAAATTATGCTTTTAAAGGCAAAGAGATTCCAGTCTTTAAATACAAGATTACTGATTTCAGCAATTCAAGTGTATATAAACAGGAATAAATTAAGAATAAAGGCTCTATTTAGCAATTCTGAAAAAAATTGGTAGATAATAAACTGTAAGAAGATTCAAATATCTTTTAACTGTTACTACGATTCCATTAATTTGTAAAAAAAAATCAACATTCAATAACAAACTTTGAATCAGGAGGGGAGTTTGAATGTGTATATGCACAGCCATTTACCATACCTATTCTGAGACTTGAAACTGGCAAAATAACAACTTTGATCAGATCATACCTTATATTTCACTCAACAAGGAAGCACTGAGGCACTTAATTTGCAAGACCAATTAAAAACACTTTCAGAAGGACTTGCAAAATTATAGGCAAATAGCATATAGTCAAAAAAATCCCTTGATGTGAAATGATTGATCTTTCAGTTTCCCATCATGACTCCTAATCATGAAATTCATAAGCTGGATATAAAGCATACAGAAGTGGCTGGAACTTTGCTGATAGAAAGGAGAATTTGCAACTTCATGTTATCTATGAAGCATTTAAATTAAATCTGGGGGTTGAAGCTTGTTTGTCCTTTTGGTTTTTTTATTGTAGTTTTTTGTTTGTTTTAAAGCTCCATTCTGTTCTCAGTAAGCCTAATAATACTAGTGTGCAACTTTCAAGGACACCAGTTCAAACGTGCTTTTTTAGATCAAGTGAGTGTCAGTCAATTATTTGGGCTTGACTTCTCATGAAATGCCAGAATGTCAGACTTCCCTAAGTCTTTCTCAAGAACACTGTAAATATGCTGTGGTAACCAGGTAGTATGTGAAACCAGTCCAAAATGAGTTCTACCTAGGGTGACATATATCCTTTTTATTTTCTGAGAAACAATTGAGGATTCTCTTTTAGTTTTCATTTCATAAAGCTCTCAGGCATTTTTGAGGGAAATGACTTATAACAGGATAAGCTGGATTCAATACAAAGCGAGGTGTCTGATAACACAGAATTTTCTGAATTATTTTTTTTTTTAAAGTTCTGCAGACATAGAGTGCTTCTTTCAATATCTATGCTGGCTTAAAATGTTCAAACACTGACTGTCATGAAGAGCATAGTACAGAAACCTATGAAAGCAAAACTAAGCCTTGACATTCTCTGTTTCTCTTTCGCCTTGCTCTCTTCGTTTTTTCCCAGTCCTATCCCAAATATTTCCCTCCATTTTCATTCCAGAAACAGGACAAACTCCACTGGGACATTAGACTATTTGTACTCTGAGGATCAACAGAACAATGCAAAGCTCTTCGGGCTCAGGAACTCCAAGAGGTTTCACACTGGTGCAAAACACAGCATTCAGGACAATGTAAATACGCAGTCTGTCTTCTCAGTGTCTAGCCTCATCATCTTTAGTAAAGACAGAATGAATTCTTATTGAGCAAGTATGTAAGCAGTCATTTATACCATCTGTCATAAGCTTCACGTCCTGCCTTTGGGAGACTCAGTTTGGAAGATTTTATTCTCCAACTTGAACACATTTCTTGTAGGAAACCTGTGAAGATTTCTTGAACTGCCTATTTACCTTGTCCCAAATGCTGTGTTTTGCACCAGTGTGAAACCTCTCCGAGCAGAAAGAGATTGCTTCTTACCTAACACAAACTGAGCATGCTTAGCTCGGAAAACTACCAGCAGTGCCAGTCAAAGAGGGAAGTTTGCAGTACAAACACCAAGTAGAACATTCCTAAGAAAAGTACGTAGACCCAAAGCCAAGCTTGACAGATGACTGAAAGAAAAAGTTTCCAAGGAGGCTGGAGGAGACTATATGTAACGCATGCAACCTAGCAGTCAAAATTATTGGACTGGAAATAGTGACCCACTTTGTAGAGGGTAAGTTTGTTTTCAAATCTTTCACTCCCCCATCCAACACTTTGAGAGTTCAGGTTTCTTTTTCCTGTTTAAAAGCTACTTTTTGTGTTCTGATAGATCTTTAATTATATCAAATGACATATACTGGTATCTATAAGCCCACCCAATTAAAGAGAAATTGGGTTATGGCCATTGCAATGTTCCATACAACTTTCAAACAAAGTCACACACTTCTCACAGAAATTGAACTTCAGATTGTAAAGTGTTTCACTACACCATAATTAACCCCCTAATCCAGACTATTTTAATACATTTAAAATGCATGCCTGAGACTGACCAGATGAATAACTTGCTAGATATAAAAATATAGGTCTACACTAATTCTCACCTGCTCAGTAAGTAATATTGAGGTATTGCTGTACTTTTTACTGGTTTCAGATCCAAGAGTAACAAATCTTAAGAGAAAAAGAGTTAGTGAAATGCACCAAATTACAAGTTCCCAATTGTAGTGACAATCAAGGAAGATCTCATGCATGTGAAGCAGCTGAAAACGAGAGAAAAAAAAATCAAAATTTAATTCAAAGTTGTAATTATATCACACCACAAGAAAATAATTAAATAGCTCCCCAACTCCAAGAAAAATTTCCCAGTACTAAGTATATGGATTGATTTTGAAAGATTTTTGAATCATAATTCAAAATCAACACTGTGTCAAAGATATGAGGTTTAAGAAAAGATATGCTCTGAAAGGCTCAATCAGAATTAAGACACATCTTTTTTCATATCCCTAAAGCAACAGAAAAAAATACATAATCTAAGACAATTTTAAAGTTGTGTTAAAACTTACAAAGACACTATATGTGGATAAAAAAAAATATATATCCTCAAATCATACAGAATCATACAGAAAATCTAATCCACGCAGAGTTACTGCTAAATTATATTCTTATTAAAATATTTATAGTTATCTACCAGGAAAACATATTAGCATTAACTATAGAAGAAAGTGGGGCGGGGAGTGGGGGTGGGGTGGGGAATACAACCAGAAGGCATTCAGAAGCTTCCCTGTATTCTGAAAGAGGAGCTCGAGCAAAAATCTTAAGCAGTAAAAATCATCTTTAAACATAGATTTGCTTACTGAAAGCTATTCCACTAGAGGGCAGACTAGTGTAGTCAACAATCTTGTGTCTCACAAAAATCATCAACCAAGGTCAATCTTAATTGTCTTTGCAAAAGTGTATTTTGATGAAAAATGTTAGGAAAAAAAACCAAAACCAACTGTGTTCCAAAATCCACGATGGAAAATTAAAGAGGACAGAGATTTAAAAAAATAATAATAACAATGTGTTAGGAATTATGCTATCAATAAGTTTCTTTAGCTTTTACAGAATAATATTCTAAAGTAGATAAAATGAACAATACAAAATGGAGCTTAATCTTCTGAAAAGCTGTAACAGCTGTTACTCATTTCTCACTGTGGTCTTTTTACTTAGTAGGAATCACAACACAAAAGGCACTCAAAATTATTTTGAAAACTATTTGAGTCATGGCTGTTTCTATACAAGTAAGATTTCCTCACCTGTGCACAACAGATAAAGACAACTGAGATAGTCAGTAGGAAGGCAGATGAAACTATTACATCAACTGAGCGCTGAGGACCTCGACGCTAAAAATAAAGGATATGCATATATATGAGTGAAACCTACCCAATCAGCATTGATATTGAACATACCCAGTTAGATTCACATCTTGAACCTGTTTCGTCATAGCTCACAATTTGGCAATCTAAGTTCTAAACACCCTATTAGATCCCTAATAATATCACTACATTTGAATACCCCTAAAGGCATATGAGATTAATTCAGATGCAAGCATTTGAAGATAACTATGAGAAAAGAAAATATTCACCACTCGTTCAGTCAGCTCCTTCATGATGTGAAGCAACTTTCATTTAGGCAGCATTCCCTGACATAATAAATTCAATACGGCACTGGGCTTTAACCCCAAGTATCAAACCAGTGCTAACAAAAGATTTTTGGACACCTGATCGCAACAGCATATCAAGATATGATTTCACATGGTAACGTTTCCATTACTTGCCTCTTTTTGACACACAAAAAGTGTAGCTGTAAATCCCTGTCCCACCATAGTAGGTGCAATAATATAATTCTCTCCCCCAGAACAAGAAGGAAAACTGGGGAACAAACATAATTGTCTTGAAAGGTGCAACCTCACTGTTTTCAATCATTTTTTCTTGCTTGCTGGTACAATGAAATGTTTCTACCCATTGAGCTTTTTTCTCTTTTTTTTTTTAATTAAAGAATTAAACATCCTGTGCTGCATTGAAACATGTACAAGTTATAACAGACATTTATTTCTCAACTTTATTCTCCAGACATGCTACTAATTGTATAAACGTGAGAAGAATGGGAGGTGTATATATGTGAGATATAACCTTGGAATTTGGAGAAAGAGATAGGAGACTTGAGATGTGTATATACCTCAGCTCACATCTTCACGTGCGGACACATATACAGAGAGGTAATACGCAAGTGTATTTTGTACAAATGCTATGCCAGTACGTGCCAGCAGCACCACTGCAAGAAGGCAGCCCTGCTTGTTAGCTGCTTGTCTCCATTCCTTTCCTTGTGATAGCACAGGCATCAGAGGGCTGCCCAGTGAAACAAGTAAAGCAACAGATTGAGGTGAAAATTAGTGTTCACGTCTGGTCATTTTTAAGTTGGGTCAGTTCTCTATGCACCTGTCTCTGACCACTGTCTAATTGCTTTTTTCTTAGCTACATAATTATACAAATGTTTCTGGTGGCATAAGAAAAGGTGGTTGTGAGGAAAGGCAAGACACTCTTCTCCTCAGATATTAGTTGAATTATCTAATGCAGAGAAAAAAATGGAAAAAAACTTGAGGGGAGGGAGAAACAAAAAACCAACCCTCAGTTAGGTAATATGGATCCTTTCACAAAGAATCATCAAAATGCTCTGGCTTGAAAAGCTCATTAGAGACATATAAGGAGATTACAAAAATATGAGCTGAACATACAAAAGAAAGATTAGAATGTCTTACAGATAATACTTGGGAATAATTTGTAGCTTCACCTGGCACGTGTACACTCACAGCACAAATATGCATATAAACTCTCTTGCTTGATAAATCCCTCCTGTGTTAATGACACTAACTGTGGGGCTCTTACAATAAGGTATTGTCTGTATTATACAACAAGTGGTCATTTTTACCCAATATATTCAAGTGAGAGACTTTTCTGCTAGCATTAGTAAGACAAGACTCCAACTCTAAACACACTCATACTTTACTCCAAGGTAAAAACGAGACATTTACTTTCTCACAATCTGGCTGCCTGTAGACACTGGTGGACCAGAGTTACTGAAATGAAACACACGAGGCACACGTGCACCAATAGGGGTAAGTTCACAGGAGGAAAAATTCAGACTAGAATACCAACCTTCCATCAACAGCATATGAGATATTTTATATTACAATGGTAGCAAAAATATACATTATTTTACCTTCAGATAGGACCTGAGAGAAAGCCACATTTTTATATTCTGTACTTTCTTCAAGCGGAAGTGAGGAACCTCTGATTTTCTTGCCCTTCTAGCAGATGTTAGATGACCAAAAAGTTTGGCAAAAAGTAGCCTCTGCAGAGAAGAAAAAAAAAATTTACTTTACCTGTTAATTGACTTTCAAGGGCACTAAAAAGAAAATGGAGAAAAGGCTTCACTTAATATGTCAAAGTAACACCCAATGTATCAGTGTAAATTAAAATATGTTAATATAGTGCAGAAATAAGAATAGCACATTACTAAAAAGAGAAGATACACTAAAAATTTTTAAAAGTCTTCATACTCTAATGACAAACAAAGTTCAGCTACACTGAGTTCCTGTCTTCAAATTTCAGACAACAGATCTGCTAAGTCTGTGAGAAAGATCAAACCTGCATATCATTTGCATTAGAGAGTGTCTGTATCACAGAAGTTCCTTCCAACAGAAATGATTAGAAGCAAGCTAATCCTACTCTACTGTATTAAATCACATATTTTGGCTATAATTTGAGAAAAGGAAGTACAAAAATTTTTCTTTTGCAGGCCAGTAAGCATCTATACTCTGTAGCTAGTAATGGACAGTGATACTCTCTTAAAAGTTTAAATTGCAGTAACAAGCAATAAATTAACAGGTGTATTACTTCAGATAGCAGCTCTCCCTGTCTCCAGCTGTGGGGCTGATTCACCAGCAAAGCAGGCAGGGTCTGGACTGAACTGTTTTGAATTAAACTGAAGGTTTTGAAGGAAACACTGGCAAAGAACAAACTGGAAATTTATAGAGTCCTTTTATTGAAACTCCTTCTCCTTGGGGAGAACTGAGACAAACTGGGACAGGACTAAGAGCTGGGTTAATGCATTGAGCCAGAAATCTGAAATAAAAGTTTAAAAAGTTTTCCCTCAGAAATACCCTCCAGGAAAAAAGGTTTAGCTACAGAGACTGTACAATGACTTCAGTCCGTTGCAACTGAGCCATGGCCTAAACTGTAAGACTCCTGAAGTATTTGTCATCATTGATCTATGATTCATAGTGTGCTGAAGAAAATAAGTTTAAAATATCCACAAAGTCAAAAAAAATGCAAACATTAAACCTTGTTTTGCTTTGGATGAAGCCTCCCGGTTTGCTATTCGTACCTGTTTATATGTCCTCTCTGCTACACATAGCAGAAAAAAGAAAATCCACACTAGAGACACACGGACTAGAAAACTTATAATAACCATTGAGAGAACCCAAATGTCTCCATTTGATCCAAATGCAGTTATACAAAGTTCAGTGGCAGAATGTGTAGCAAGTTGTTCCAAATCTTTAGCTTGGGAAAGTCGAAAGACAAATGGCATTAAACCCAAGATTAAAGATATGACATTTCCAAAAATCTGATAACCAATTCCTGGTATATAGCTGTTCACCTAAAAACAAAAGAAAACAACGTATATTTTTAATTTTTGAATTAATTTGGAATTAAGTCCATAAATAAATTATTAATGCTAATGTCTTGGTATCACAAGGAACACTTATTAAGTTATAAAGTTATATGAAACCTTCAACCAAGCATCTTCACAATTTTCTACTAAGAAAAAGGAAAATCTCAAAGAGCACTTAATGTACAGGAATCAAATATGACAAATCATTTAAAAACCCAACAACACAACATTGCAGTTAAAAGACTCCAGTGCATATTCTTGTATTAAAAATTCATTCAATGCTGAATTAGCAAAGTGCGCCAATCAGACTGTATTGCTTACATTCTGTATGTTGCTCCTACTTGTGTTTTGCTTTCAGGTTTTATGTTTTTTAAAGGAATCAAAGCGTTCACAGCGCAGACAGGACTGGAGTTCTGTTGTGCTGGCCATGGCTTTGTTAAGTTTACTTCTGCTGCAGACTGCACCCAAAATGGTATTGTCTCTGAGTTAGGTACAGAGATGTGAACTCAGTTTGTGAATACATTGCTTTTGAACAAGTTGCAGATGGTAAGTATCAACTTGTCAGAATTAGTTGATAGGTTGCTTAAGCTACACTACGATTTTACGTTCAACTCTACAAAATGCCTACGTTCTCTATATTGAAAAAGAGTACGACATCAATTAAATGCTTTTCCAACTGCTTCCTGAAAAGGAGGACTAGGAAAAAGAAGGGAGGACTAGGGAGACATCCCACTCATCCTCTTAGATGTATGTTTCCTAAAGAGGAAAGGGTTTTTTTCCAATCTTAACTTTGCCATCCAAATACTCAGATCTTTATATTCCTAACCCAACATACTAGTTGTTCATCAGAATCAAGGAGATAAATATGAATATTCACGACATATATCACTTCAGAACAATAAAACAGAGGTTGACTATGTTCGTAAGCACCTAACAATGCAAACATATTTTACTGTTCCAAGACTTAAGATTTGCTAGCTCTTTTATCAGCTAGTAACAAGTAAATCAGAATGATGCCATGAAGCAATAACGTCAATAGCAGATACTTTTTTAAAAAAAAAAACAAAAACAAAACAAAAAAAACCCAAACAAACAAAAAAAACCACCAACATAAAACAAGCTTCTTTTTGGTAGTGCTTCGACTCCTAAATATAATATTTGCAAAAAGTAAAAAGAATACTCACTCTGTTCATTATCATACCACTGATTTCAAGCACAGACATATCTGCTTTCTTGCAGTCATTACCCTCCCATACAATTGCACTTATTTTTTCTAGTCCTGGATTCAAACTGTGGATCCAAGGCAAATGACTCTGGGGAAGACAAGGAATATATTCTATCAGAGATAAAATCCTATTGTTATATTGTTATGTCAATATGCCTTTGTCAGCAATATGCTGACAAAAAAAACACTTTAGACTGACACAAATATTGTTATATAGCATTTACTTCTACTATATGTTACTAGACGTTAACCACATTCCTTAAAATCATCCACTACTTTTCCAAGAAATGGCTGTGAGTAGAGAGATCTCTCCTTCCCCATACTTCCTTTTCTAGTAGTGTTAAGTTATTGTGGCTGAGGATGAATTGGCTTCTTTTTTGCTCAAACATATCAAAGAAGAGAGAGTTATGAAAACAAAGGTCTACTTATAAGCCATCTTTAATTTTGCCATATGTTTAATGGAATATTTTATTTTTCTGACTATTATTTTTTCCTCTAACATTCTGAAAAGTACTCTTCTCAGGTTGAGCCTAAGGGCAACAATTTTTTAATTTGCTTTTAATGATATTTGGGTACCTCATAAATCTTGTTATGGATAAAGGCTCCCCTATGCTAACTGTATCTGGCAAGACTCAGAGAGAGCGGTAGGACTCTAATCAATACATGCTGCTCCAAGAGCCAAGCAATGCCAGCCTCATCTACTGAACGCACTTATGGCTGAGGTACCTTTGCTCTAAACAGAGTACCAAGTGAGAACTGAAGGACCTGGAAAAATGTTGAGGCATCAACTTCTGCTACAGCCATTTCTTGACTTCCCTCAGGCCTGTCTCACTCCTCTCCAGTTCAGGTGATTAAAATTGCTCTCAACTCTGCCCAGTCACCTGGCACTATGTGCCTCAAAGTACTGGAAGTGGT